CCGCCTCCGTTTTATAAATAATAACTATAAATGGTGTTTTTCAAAATATATTTGAAAAAAAAAACACCATGGCATAGTGTTTTTTTAAAAAACACAACATTTGACAAACACCTCGATTGCCAAACACACCCGTATGAGTGAGATGCTGTGTAAATGATAAAGAGTGGATCTTTGAAAATTTAATTATTTACAATTTATAGGTACAGAGTTTAGTGAGAAAAAGCTGAAGTAGTTCTGTGAGACACCAAAATTAACAGGGTTTATGTGGAATTTCTTTTTCAAAGCAGGTTTCTTGTAGATAATACCCCTGCTCGAGAGAAATCACAGGGAGGGGATTTCAGAGTTCAGCCTTCAAACCCATGGTCGCTCTATTCAACGATTAGGGATGGACTAGAGTTGAAAACACGCGGAGGCAAGAAACTGATAAACTACAATTTTGCACCATTTGTTGCATCCTACCAAAATTTTGAAATAGAGGGGTGCTATGGAATCAGACTAAAGTCATCATCTATTTTATGCTCAAACAACAATCAGATAGACTAAAACCTCTGCGTTGTCAGAAATTAATACACGCAGCAAATGAGCCCGTGGATGATAAAAATATCGACAAATATGATTAAGAGTAACAAAATAGCCTAAACATATAAAACAAAGTTTTAGCACATACAAAAAGTAGCCACAACTGCAGAAAGCATGAGAAAAGGAAATATAAAAAAAGTATAATAATAATAAATAAATAAAAATAAAGAAGACAAAAGACCCAACTTTTAAAAGGATTAGCGGAACAGGAAGCTGAATGTTGACTACACACTGACAAAAATGTGGACAGCACAATAATGCAGTTCAATATTGAGTCCTATATGCACATAAGATTAGCGACCACGAAAATAAAATATCGTACATAATTTATACTGAAAAGTAGAACAACATTAGACACAAGCTGCTTGATGTAAAACAATTCATAACCAAACCAAAGCCCTTATTCATGGGATACAGCATTATTTTCGTCATTGTCTCATCAGATAAGTTTAAAATTCATGGGGTTATGTAAACAACACCTACAACCAAGCAGGATTCTTGAGAGGAGTAACAACTGCCTTAACCTGCAAGTAGGCCTTAAGGCCGTCAATGCCCTTCTCTCTTCCTTGGCCACTCATCTTGAATCCCCCGAAAGGAATTGCTGCATCAAAAACATCGAAGCAGTTAACCCACACGGTACCAACCTTCAATGCTCGGATTAGAGTGTTAGCGTTGTCAAGGTTGCTTGTGAAAACTCCAGCAGCTAGGCCGTAGCGAGTGGTATTAGCTCTCTTTATCACTTCATCGAGGTCTCTGCCATTGATAATGTCAACAGACAGATTAAATGTATAGCAATTTGAATGAGATTATTTGCAAATAATAATCCGATATCCTCTAAACTATTTTATTAGCACTTACACCTCTTATAACTTCAAGACGGTCAAATGGGAATCTCACGAAAATAAATTACCTTTTGCTCTCAGTTTAATTGAAAAAAAAGACTAAACTGCCCTGTAAATTGAGGGCAAAACAACAACCGTTGTCTGAGATTCAGGTGTAAGTTCCAATAAAACAAATTCGGAGTAACAAGTGGCTATCCAGAGGTGTATGCAATGAACCCATTTGAATTAACAACAATACAAAGTGTATGATAGATAACAACTCACCTAAATTTTAGGATGCTCTGCACTGGTCCAAAGATCTCTTCCTTGGCAATGGCCATATCATCCTGGTGAATGTGAGAAATGAACAAATAAATCATCAGTGGAATTAGTTGAAAGTGGATTTATTAAAAGTTCAGTGATTGCTACGTGATACCTGGACATCGGAGAAAATGGTGGGTTGAATGTAGAAGCCCTTGCTGCCATATCTANGTCACAAGGTTAGCACCGCTATCCACACCTGACCTTATGCAGCGAAGGATCTTATTAAATTGCTCATCATCAATCTGAGGTGAAGACGTCATAGAGGAGAAAATTAATCACCAAAAGTTTAGCAAAGGGATGGTTTACACAACCAATAAGACAAACTGAAATGCATATTGATTTCCCGGGAGAGAACTTTACAATCTCCCTTGGCTGAAATGG